CCCCGAAATGTGACGAGGACCGCAGTGTCCGCAAGTTCATATAGGGTTCGTTCTCAATTATTTGATTATGCAAATTCCTCTTCCTCTTTGAATAACTAATTATAAGTTATCGGAACAAGTGCTCTTTTAACTGACTTCGTTTGGGACATATTGGATATATAGAGCATTTGATCATTAAGAATTTTATTGAGATAGAATATATTTATTTATATGTTACGTGTTGACAATAAATATAGTATTATATAGTCGTTGCCACTAAACTGCTCCTAGATGGCTATTTGAATTTTGATAAATCTTTTAGAGTATTTCAATGCACACACAATAGTGTGGTTCTAAATTGAATAAATCTTGTAATTATGCAGAAAACAGTGGAACCTGATCGAACCCGCAGTAAATTCATGAGCAATACACCACTGGCAATAGGATTTTTTTTCAGGAGACAAAAGTCGTCTCCTTTTTTTTGTCCTTGTGTAATAATATATAAAATGTTATACAAATATAAATATGCTATAAAACTTAAAACAATTTTTGGGTAAAATACCTAACGGTAGAAAAACCCCCATGCAATTCAATGTATGTACAATGTATATAATGAATAAAATTTAAAAAAAAAAAAAAAAAAAAAAAAAAAACAGTGGAAAAAATGAGGAAAAAAATGTTGATTGACACATGAGATAAGAACTGTCAAAATTAAATTCACTCAAATTAGAACTTAGTCTTCGATTAGGTCTAATATAATATCATATAATTGTAAAACTGAGAAGTTCTCATCGGATTTCTTCTTAGGCATCGCTCTTAAAATTTTGTCATTTTAGCTCATAGGAATCTTTATGTATTTCTGATTGCTAAATAAAACTGAGTTAAAAAAAAAATAGAACGTAAATTATGAGTAATTTATAAATTATATTCGCCAAAAATGGTATGAGTGTATAAAAATTATGGCCATACTATTGAAGCAATTATTTTGGGTGAAAAAATCCAAGGTAATAGTGTTTTTTTTTACCGGGGATAGTATATTAATATTTTCTGAATTTGTTTTACTGTTTAAATACTGCAATTTCAAATACGTATAGCCAATTATATGACCATAAGTAAATCACAAAGGAAAACGATGACTTTTTGTGGGATAAATTTGGTAAGTCAATATTTTACTCATAAACAATTGTATTTCGGGTGCTTGAGAGTTAGAAAAGCAATACAGTGATCTAATAAATATATATATATATATATATATATATATATATATATATATATATATATATATATATATATATATATATATATATTTAGCTAGCATGCGTAATGTAACTCTTTGAATAGTTAAACAAGTGGAAAACATTGAGGTTAAAGTTTGTTCATGTAAAATGAATAACCTTAACTTTTAACGAACTATAAGTTACAACAAACGTATAACTCCTTTGAATGAAAACTAAAGTTCAAACTTAATATTAACTCTCAATTAATGAATTAAATCTAAGTTTTAATGGAAATGTTACCCTTTAATATATTTACTTATGTTCTGAGTATATAAACTTTATTCATTAAATAAAGAAATATTTCGGGCAAAAAATAGATATGTTTATATTATTTATTATTTAAATCATAATAACTATTCAGGTTTTTGGACAATTTACCTAGCTTTGAATTCAAATTGTGCAGCAAAAATGTATTTAAAGTATAGTAGTACCATGGGACACTATAGTGCGATTGGAATTGATAATTATTTTATTCTATAATTTTTCAATACCGGATTAAATATACTTTATTCTTCAATATATTTACAAAACATATTTAATAATGGTCTTAAATTATTAATTCAAACTCAAATTATTTTTTTTATTTACAAGAATCGAATAACATCAATATAAGGAACAGTATAGTATAACAGTATACTAATAATAATTAATAAAGAGAGAAAATTGAAAGAGAACTCATATTGCCCTCCTAATTTCATTTTTTTCTTTATTAATTATAATTAGTTATGGTTCTTTTGCACAAATTTAGTGTTTAATTTTCCCTCTTTATTAATTATTATTAGTTATGATGTTCTTTTGCACAAGTTTAGTGTTCAATAAATTATATATTTTTTGTGTTTTTCTTGGTTTTGTATGTACATAATTTTCTCCTTTTTATATTCTTATATTTAATATCAACTATTGTTATTTATGTAAAATGCTTTTTTAGATTACTGAAAGATGACATACATTAAGTATCGAAACGGAAAAAGAATATAGAATTTTTCTATTTTATTTTTTTTAATTCGACGATTGGGCTGCAAAATACTTCAAATATATACTAGAACCGATTTATTTCATCAATCTTTTAAACAGTGTATTTTCCACACAAATTTCCATTAGCTTTATATTTTAAAACTTCATTTAGTGTTAAAAGTTTTTGCCGGGTGCTTTAATATCAAATACTAACACAAATGTCATTTAAAACAAATTAATTATTCCAACAAAAAAAATGTTTTGAACTAAAAAATGTATGCTTCTTACTTGTCGATAAATCATCTATTCTTCAATATATAGTTTCCGGACTTGGTTGAATATACTTAAAATTTAAAGTTATTATGAATATATTTATAGTTATTTCATACTCTAACTATAACAGATGATCTATTCTATCCATTATTTTACCCATAATAAACTCTTAGTAACTCCTTCGACATATAATAGGATTAATAGTTTTCATACAAGAACGAACATTCGCTTTACAGTGTCTGGAGCGAGTTCAAAAAAGTTAGTTTGAGATTTAATAATATGAAGCGTGTTGAGGTGAAAAACTGGATATAATTTAATTAAAGTCTTCAGTTTTGCTTTATGAAAACGTGCACTTTGAATGAAGTAAGCCTTAGTGCAGTACGAAAAATCTTTATTGAAGCTTTATTAAACTTGTACAATATGTTATTTCTTTCTTCAGATTAAAATTTTAAGTTTATGTATTTTAATAAAAAGAATAATCATTTGTATAAGGAACTTTACCTAAATTTCTTTAGCCACGTTCCTTAAGAGTCCGCGTGTAAAAAAGTCCACAACTAATATCTCAAAAACAAGTAATATTACAATTTTTTTAACAGCAATATTCTAAAATAGAGATCAAAAGATGTGTAACTGGTCCTTGCTTAAATCAAGATTATACAGATATAAATAGCAAAGTTTGAGAATCTATAACAAAAGTATTTTCTTTTGTTGTTAGTTTTTTTGGTTGTGACCACTGTTGTTTAGTTTACGAGACATTGCTATTATATTTAGGTATACATCACTTAATTGTTTTATAAGGTTGTATGAGTATTTTTAAGTTAGATTTAACAGATTTTTTTACATAACCTTTATGAAAGCTTATATTTGTTCGGGGCAAAAAGGTCCAACTGTACCTTTACCCTGGTAAACAATAAAAAAGTAAAATAAGTTAAAAACGCTACTTTTCAAAAGATAAATTAAATTAAAAGATATTCCAACTCTGATGATGAATATTTCTTACAAAAAACTCCAGTTTCCACACAATGTTGTGATGTAAAAAATATGACCATGAAATTTATATTTAAATTTAAAATTAAGACATTGGATCTGTTTTACCTCTGACACTTCTTTTTTTACCTATATTATGAGGTAAAAAGGGATAGATGGCAAATCATATGTTAGAAAAACATTAATGAAACGCAATTTTATAATTAGGAATTAACTGAGCATTTTATTGAACATGGTTCAAAAGCTGTTTGTTCGATTGGTTTGGATATAATAATTACTTAAATTCAAAATGGACCTGTGTGCCCCGTCCTACCTTATATCAATTTGGATTATTGCGTTAACATTACCCATATTAAATTTAAAGTTTAACATTAAAACATGTTCAGGTTCACTTATTTTATACGCGGAATTTTACTTTTTTTCAACATTCTATTTCAATAACTAGTGGGGCACATGGCATCGTGCCTTAAGGCAAATTGCTGGAACTTCTCGTACCAAAAATTATTATTTTTTCAAAAACAAAACATTTTTGAAAAAATTTTACTTCGAAAAAATTTGATTTTTGAGAAACTATAAATTTGACCAAAATGGCATTTCTTTTTTACTTTTTTCATTAGATCTCCGAAACCGCTAGACTTGCCTTCATGAAAATTTTATAAATTTTTTATCTTGTCAATATAAGTAAAATGTTTTTTGAATTAATAAAATTGGACGCTCCGTTCTCTTAAAAACTGAGTTATCATTTTTGGCACTTTTTGCCCCGTATCTTTGGAACGGCTAGACTTGCCTTTGTCAAAAACTAATCAGCACGTCTCCTTATCAATACAAATCGAATGTTTTTTGAATTATTCAAATCTGTTGATCGGTGTTCCCAAAATAGTCGACGAAAATTTGTATCCGCACACACATACACACACCCACACACACCCACACACACACATACACACACACATACACACACATATACATACATCCATTTTTTTCTAAGGTATGCCAAAATGTTCAGAAGGTTTTGAAACGTGAAGATATATAAAAATTTTCATTTTCGATTTTTTTGCGATTTCTATAACTTGCACTACGGGAAGTTAAAAATATATAACATTATAATAATTGGTATGAAATGTATTCAAAAACTATAACCAGCCAGAAAATGAAGTAATCAACGCATCATGATTTTGCAGTTTAGACCTTGGAATCTTCTTCTGTATTTTGGTTTCATATGAAATTGGACTCACCGTGCGTTGATCCTAAATCTTCTAGATTTTTCATGCAATTTTATGGGGGATTTATTTTCTCGCGCCTGGGTTGCTTTCGTTTTTCTTGTATTAGAAGCAATATAAGTAAAAAAATAAACTTCTTGTCTTATTATTTGAAGAGAATATGAGAGATTGTTCATATTGATCTTTTAAACATTGAACTAAAAAATTTTCAAATCTCCTTTTATATAATGGTGGCTATATTTATTATATGTAACATATTTATTTATCTCGTGATCAAAAAAAATAATGTAATATATTTTATAAATTTCAGAATTTTGGGAAGATCACTTCCAATGTCGTTATCCAAACAGTTCCAATACACCATATAACCAAAAGTACACAAAACTTTGTACGACAAAAGAGAAGTTAACTAGAAATAATACAGACTTTGAAGGGCAATTACAGTTCGTCAGTGACGCCGTGATGGCCTTTGCATATGCTATAAGGTTAGTATTCCTTAAGGAATATAAGCATTTAAATTTAAATTTAGATGCATATATGACAAATTTGATTTATGTAATGAAACCAGTCAAAATCAAATGCAGGACAACTTTGAGCCTTCCAAAGTCTATTTCATACAAAAGTTTCAAGTTTATTTGAAGCATACCAGTTGCAATTTGTATTAATTAGCTTTTTGTAGATTTTTATAAATAAGAGATAAAAATATTTATTCAAGATTAAGAAGATTTAAATTTTTCAATAATAAATTCTTTTTGCGTTTATCATTCTAGAGATATGCATAAGGATCTGTGCAGTGGACAGAATGGACTTTGCGATGCCATGAAACCTACAAAAGGACTCGAGTTACTCAAATACCTTCGCAACGTAGAATTTGAGGGTAAGTCGTTTTCTTATCATACATCTTTCAGACTTTAAAAACAAAAGAGGGAAATATATTTTCTTACTTTGAAGAAATAAATAAAATTCTAAAAGCTCTGATGGCTATACTTTGTTCACTTGAGAACTTTGCTGGAGTTATGGAATGTAAAAAATTTGCTCCTTGCGAAGGGATTTGCATAAAAAAGCACGAAGCATAGAAAAAACGTGTCGAAGTTGTAAACAAGGTTTTCTAGATTAATATAAAGTCCATTTTAATTACTATACGATGGTTGTCCTAACCATGAAAAACTTACACAACAATACAAAACTCGTTAGAAGAATAATTTTGTAGGTAACCTAGAAAACACTATAATTTGGTCATATTGATGTAGTTATTTACTCGCACGAAATTAATTTCACATTTTTATTGTTATCATTGTAAGTTTCCATGAAATTTGTATTTCACATGAGTTTAATACTATAGGTATTACCTCATAAAATCCCTTTAAAATTAAAAAAAAACTTTGGATATGTGCTTATCCGTATATTTAATATTTTATAAAAATAATCTTTCCTATGAATCTATATCACTTGAATCAATTTAACCTACAACATATTTTAGGATAGTAAACACACATATATCTAGATACTCAAACACAAAAAATGAAAAATTTTATTCGTTCAGATGAAATTTTCATCATATTCTAAAAAAAAATTAAAATTACTTATTTTGTTAAGGTTGAGTTTTATCAGCCACATTGTTTTTTTTGTTAGTACAGTTAAAAATGATTCTTTTAACAAAATGATTATTTTATTAAAAATGATTCTTTTTTAACTTTAGTGTATTTAGTATTTTGATAGAGAAAAATATCATTAATACATTGTGAAAATAATATGCATTTATGAGAAAAAGTTTATCTAATTTAGAAAATACCAGAAGGTCGCATAGATATTTATATTTTAATTGTAAATATTGTGCATGCGCCTGCAAATCTGCATAATTTCTGCATACACAAATTATACACATATGCAAATTGAAGTGCTCATGAATAAATGGCTCGGATGAGATCCCAAGTGAATATGTCACTTTATGTATAGTTTTATTTTGCTGGTGACATATTTTATATTATATTCAAATTAAAGTTGGGGATCTATTATTTTTATAATCAAATTTTTTATTACAATTGTATATTCTCCCATTTTTCGAGCAGAGCGGGACACAAAGGTCCAGTTTGATTTTGAGCAATTACATCGTGAAAACAAATTCAATTCTATGACAACAAATAACACATATCAAACAAACAACTATCTGACTGTAAAACTTCCGGTGAATCCATTATTGTGAAAATGAGTTTTTTTTTGCTGTTTTTCAAAAATTTGTTACCTGGTCTTTTTTACCACATAAATAAGTAAATAAAATAGGACTGCCAGTGAGCAAACCGGTTCAATATCTTATTTTTAATTTTATTTAAAATTAATAGCAACATTATTCAACCAATGTAAGATAAAAATTTAAGGGGTACATTTTCTACATAGATAATATTTTATATAACCTTGATCTGGTATTTCGTCAGAAATAATCATTAGCAGAGTTGGAATAACTATTAATCTTTTGTTAAACAGCTTTTTTAACTGAATTCATTTTACTTACTCACATTCAAGTTTTTATAAATGTTATATTATTATAGAGTTGAATGTAACTTAAAAATAACGATATCTCATTAAATATTTAAATAATGTAGATAAAAAAATATATGTATTAAGTTCCGGTATCTAAGCAACATTTGCTCACAGCCAAAAAAAAAAACTAACAACGAAAGATAAAAGTTTGCTGCTAGCCGTTAACTAAAACCGTTTCTTTACAATTAGCAGATCAGTGCAAAATTTTCACATTTTATCGAAAAATCCTAAATCAATTTTATAAATAAAAACTGTTCGAATATTTTTGGAATTTTGGGAAATAATTGTTGGAATCCTCGTAATTAATTGTTGGAAATTTTTAACGATAAAAAATATGATAAGAAAAAGATATTAATGATAAAAAAATTATAATACAAGCTCATGGATTTAACGAAAATCCTAAAATATTTTGAGATGTGTGGTTTGATCTTAAAAGTTCATTAAAGGTTGTAATAATGAACCGTATCAAAATTTTAAAATTTATCGTGACAACCAAGTTTCTAAAATTAAATTTTTATGGATGATGTCGATTATTGACAGTGACGCATTGCAAATTATTTACCACTCCCTTGCATTTACCACATCCCCAGTTTGGGGATGGTTTTAAAGATAAGTACATACCTATATAAAGGTATATATGTTCATATACAGTTACATAAAGTATGTATGATTTTATACATAATTTAATTATCTTTGAAATATTTTATAAATATAGTTAATTAACCGTAAGGTAGAATGCATATGAAATAAATACAAATACAAAATTATATTTTAAAATGCATAAAACAACATGGACTAACGTGTGCTCCTGCGCAAACATATACTTTAATATTCCGTATTTTTTGTGAACTTCATTACAACAGCGTTTCGCTTATGCTTTACATAACAGGATGTATTCTTTATACAAGTCGTACATTCATAATATCATTAATTCTAAAATAAGCAAACAATGGAAATGTATGTTATAACAGGAGTGATATGTGCGTGTAATGGAATACGGCAGAACAAAATACAATTTTGAGTACATGCTGCTGGATATTCGCGTTCACTGACATAGATTGATTGCACCTTAACTAACATTAGTGTTGAAAGTACCAATTTAATTCCAAGCGATCATAATAAACAACTATTAGTGTGTGGCATCGTGCCTTAAGGCAAACAGCTGGCACTTCCTGTACCAAAAATTAAATAAAAAAATTTTTTTTTAAAAACTATGAAAAAACGAACTTTTGAGAATTTTGAAATTTGAAGAAAAAATGACAATACAGAATTTAAATTATTTTTTTGTATTTTGAAATATTTTAAAGTTTGGAACTTCTTTACAAAGCAATCTGTTGCCAAACAGTTTTAGAAACCACTGCTTATTAACTGTTTTAGAAATAAAATATCGAAGCCGGTAAGCTCTACCAAAATTCAACCAGTTCTTTATTTCGCCAATACAAATAGAATGTTTTTTGAATAGACTAACCTTTAAAATTAGACGTCCTAGTTCTCCGTGAAATACCATTTTTAGAACTTCTTGTCCCGTATCTGCGAAACAGCTGAACTTGCCTTTGCCAAAAACTAATCAACACATCTCCTTATTTGTCACACACACATATATCCATTTTTTTCTAAAGTATGCCAAAATGTTCAGAAACCATTAAAACGTAAAGATATGCAAAAATTTTCATTTTCGATTTTTTTGCGATTACTATAACTTACCCTATAGGAAGTTGTAAACTATACTGATAGATAAACAAATCAAACTGTACAATTTTTAATTACATTTTTAAAGTGTCGTACGTTTATCACTTTTATTTTGTGTTTGCTGTATTTTAATCCTAAACATATAATTCTCTTATTTTTCTATGGTCTTCACAAAATATTTTCCCTTGTTACTTATATAAGAATTGTATAATATATATACATATATATATATATATATATATATATAAATATAAATATATATATATATATATATATTATATATATATATATATATATATATTTATATATATCATATGTATAATATTATTATATATGATGATAGTTTTGTCGACGTTGTCAACATATATATATATATATATATATATATATATATATATAATTCTAGAAACCCAAATCAATTCAAATCGATGCTTTCAGAACATATTTTTTTTATTAACTCTTTTATTTACAACTGTCCAGTAAAGGACATTTAGTAAATTTAATGAATTTACAATAGTCCGCCGAGAAGGGACATTGTATACTACATTGTCATGTTGGAAAAAACAAAAAAAAACAATTTTCCTTTCGATATAAATTCACAATATTTTATTATTGAATAATTACTTATAAATAATGATTAACTTGACATGTTACACCCTTTTAACGTGTTACACCCTTCCATCCTATACATGGAAAAAAATTGTGACCTTAGAAAGATAGTTAAGTCTTTACTTATATCCCTTAATACTTCTTGTGTCAACAAACGTAATTCCTCTCATCTCTTGCATGACAGTTACGAAGTCATCATTAATTTCATGAAAAAATAATCCTATACAGTTTTAGAATCTTTCGTTCGTTATATTTCTTCCCTCTTTTTTCCCCTTATGTTTCTCATACCCCGCTCCCACTCCATCACTACACTTGCTCTGTAACCTTGATTAGTGTTCACAATGCACCGCTATTAATAACATAAAATATAGGAGTGCAATATGTGTTCCTTCAATTTCTCGTTGTTAATATAAGAGTATATTATTATTTTACACAAATTTAGTGTTCAATCAATTCACATCATAATTAATATTTTCTGTTGTTTTTCCTGGTTTGGTGTATATAATTTTTTCCTTTTTATATATTTATATTTATTATCAACTTTGTATTTATGTAATATGTTTTTTAGAATATTGAATGATGACACGCATCAAGTGTCGAAACATTTAATAAAATAAATAACTCTGTTATTTAATCTTTTTTTAATTCGACGATTGTGCTGCAAGAATATAACAAATATATATATACATATATACGTATACATATATACATATATACGCAAACTCTTGATAATATAAACATTCTTAAGAGTTTTATGCAATAATTGCCACTGTATATTATATGAACGATAAAATATATAGTAAACATAATTATCTCTGCGTTATTAACAATTGTTATTAATCATTGCTCAATATTTATTCATTATTGATTTTTGCTCGAATATTCAATTCTGGTACGGAAAGTTCTAACAATTTTCCTCAAGACACGATGTCACTTTTCTAAAAACTATTTGCAGTAACTTATCTTAATAACTCAGTATTTTAACGCCTAGTCCATTATTTCCACAGATTTAGTTAGATTTCATACAGACCTACTCATGCA